CCAGCTTTGGCTTCCTTCTCCAAAACCTTTCAAATAAGTTTCCACCTTCTCTCTGACCCAGAAATGACGACAGAATTGCTTCAGTGATCTGGCTCCAGTCTCCATTCCGCCGAGCCACGAACCTCAAGCACATGCCCTCGGCTTATCGACTTCTCCTTGTTTCTTTCCTTGCCAAGACAAGGGAAGCTTGCGAAGTTTTGCTACGAGAGATTCGGTATTCCACTCGCTGAGCTCGAGTCCGCTGCCCAAGGTCAGGAGCACCGGAAGATGCTCCTCCGCCTGCTCGAATCGCTTGTTCCATTGGGTGGGGAAAAGTGGCTCCGAAAATATACGTAGAGTGTCCATGAAAGTATGAACATAATATTTCTTAATTCAGTAGCAAAGTACTTTATTGCTGTGAAACGCCTATGCATAAACTCACTACATGGACATTTTTTGTGGAAAGGTCTTTTGTAAGTCTGGTTAGCTGGCCAGGGAATTGGGCCCCATCGTTCACACCATTGCCCCATTCCCTCACCTTCCCTCCTGATATCATCCTTTTGGACTTCTTTGTCTGGGGTTATATCGAATAAAAGTTGTATGCCTAGAGACTGTGTGATGTGACAGACCTAAGGAACCGCATGCAGGAAGCATTCACCAGCATCACGCAGAAAATGCTAGCAATCACCTGGGTGGCACTCTCGTACCACTGGAAATCATGTCGTCAGCGAGACGGTGGACACGTGGAGGAATGACATGAATATTTCTGGCAAAAGGCAGTTTTTCATGGCAATAAAGTACTTTGCTACTGAATTATGACAGATTCTTTTTGAGTCATACCTTTACGGACACCCTGTAGATTTAAAATAGCACTAGAGACGCACCACCGTCGGCGGCCTCAAATAACGAAGTAAAACGAACCACATGCCTCATAGGCCTGCAAATCCTGGCAGAGGCCGTCTCCGAGCAAGGGTGTTCGCTTGCGTATCTCTGACGCTACGCAGGACGAGCAGAATGAAACTCTTTTCATGTTATAACTGCGGAAGATAGAGGAGAGAACGCAAAAAGGTCACGGCCATTATGAAGGCTTGCGGGATCCCGAAACCTTCCGTATTTACAAAGTTGGTGAAATCACTTCACTTGTTAAGTTATTTAATTTCTCCAGTTGAGATGGAGAAATGAGACACGCCCAACTCCTGAAATTCTCCGACTCGATTCCTCACATAAACAGTTTCCAGACTCTCAATATTACGAGCAAAAAGTTGGATGCGGAGAACACGATTTCGAAATTTTCACCACCTTGAAATGTGAAGAAGTCCAGGACTCTTAAGTTATTATTGTTCAGATCTGCACTGTGACTTGGAGAAAAGCGGACCAGTTCTTTTTTTTTTTTACTGAGAATATTTACCTACGATATTGTTCGAGCCTCGTGTTTTTCCACACAAGGCACATCACATGAATAAGTAAGGTTTCTGCCAAGTTAAAAAAAAAAAAATTCACTCTGCTTCGAATGCAATGACTATTCTAAGTTGAAGTATCAAAAATTGCTGTGATCTGCTCCTCTCCACTTACGTCGATTTGGTGCAATTGAAGTATGTCTGAGTAAAGTCGGCCGGCATTTTCGATGATGTACTTTTTTTAATGCTCTGGTGATGTTACGAGTGCTGCACGTGTTAAATTAAATGGTGTCAAATTATTTAACTACTTGTTTGTCCTCGTCACTGAATCCCATGGTATTCTTGCTCCGAAAAATGACGAAAATTCAAGATAAGGCAGAAACTGCAAGAACGGAGTTAAGTTTGAGACCTACAAAAAAAAGTTATTAAAAAATGTTACCAGAACGCAAAGCAAATGTAGTAACATAGATGTCTTTAAAAAAATATATAGATTCCTCTCTTGAGACTTCCTGCCACCTGCACTCAATCATGCAGTACCCTGACGTACTTGGAGATGGGCGACCGGCCAAGTGCTGGGATAGCGACTGACGTCGGCACGGAATGTTACAAGCGAGCGTCTATGCTGGGCCGAATGCATGGGTGTTGGGCTATAACGGCTGGGTGGGTGCCAAGTCGCACTCGACCCCGTTAGTGAGATGCGAGGTCAAAAAGGTCAAAATGGCGGGTATTTTGGACCCCCGCCCCAGACAGAAAAGTTATTAATCGATCTTGCTGATTTTTTCGCCGAATGACCCCGAGATATGCAGGTTAATTTTGCGCTTCGGTATGTGACTTCTGATGACGACCATTCCGGGTCAAGAACTTCCCTGCTGGTTGAAGATGTCCAAGAAGTTTTGTCCATATATGTCACGGAGTTAATTCCGTGATGCATGTATTATTGACGCCGTAATGAATCTATCTTGCTGATGCTTGATGAGAATCCAGATATCTGGGGGTTCATTTTCTGCTTCAATGTGATGGCCTTTAAAGGGCATCGTTCGAGATCAAATGCCATAAATGCTGACAAAATGTAAAAATCTTCACGGTTTCAACGAAAGTAAAGGTGTTTCCTATATTTTAAAATATCATTAACATAGCGGTAAAAAAAAAATTAACCAGTAGGTTTATCTTCATGTTAAGGAAGTTATCAAATGTCAGAGGTGAAAGCCATCAAATAAAAAGCTTATCGAATGTCAAGATAATAAATGACACTTGCTTTGAACATCCATTTATGACTCTTTTATTTGAAACAGACGATAGGCGTATACTACGCATGATACATAATGACACCAATAATCAATTATAATGACACTTAGTAGTTAAAATTCTTTTATGCTATCTTATTCGAACCTTTTGAGATTACTGTGCATAGCAAATGGAGTCGATTAGGGGCCTTGCGTCTCTTCCGCTCTAAATTATTGAATACAGGATACGGATACGGATTTTTTTTTTTATGCGAGGGCGAAGAACGTATCTAACTGGATCGAGATGGTTGTCATGATGATCATTTCCTGCCTATTGCGCTCAAACGTTTTGAACCTCGAGAGCAGTCATGCATGCATGCGCGCTGACAGAAACAATGAAGAGTCGAGCACCACGCAAGCTCCACTTCCACAATGGGACGCACAAGTGCAGTTGAGTGCTTTCAAGTCCGTCCATCGACTGTCCCGCACTCTTTGAATGCAACTTATGACCCTGTTTCCTCGCGATGTCATGGAGAAGCACTGATCCCCCCTCATGCCTCTTCACGACGTAAAGATGGACCGGTTTCGCCCCTTTCGACGGGGACGATGTTCGTGGACGGAGCAAGGAGTCGGCTCGGGGAGGAAAGTCGCCTTGATTCTCATGAAGGGAGCGCTTGGGGCGGCTGCGCCAGGATTCTCAACGAGGACCATGGAAGCAGTCGATGGGATGGGTGGCGGGAGGGAAAGCGAAAGCTGCCTGTGCAGGCCCTGGCTGTGTGCATCTCATCTTCCGCTCTCGGCTCCGCCACACGTCACCATTTATCTGTGATAGGCCTATGCAGTGTGAACCCACTATCGCGGCTTTATGTGCACGCACACATTGCACATCGCTGCATTGTAGCAGTCGTGCGGGACTGAGATCGTGATCTGTGTCTCCGGATGATTGTAGCCTACACGATGTGCCGTGTTTACCAAGGAGCTGGGGCCCATTCTCTCCGCGCTTAATTGACGTTTTTATCGATCTTGGAAAATCCCGCAGGGGAAACCAAGCCGGTTCACTCGTTGGATTTGCTTGTTTATAATTAAAATTACAATGATAGTCGTCATCACCCATCACCCTATCCTTTCATGCTATCAGTTTCCGATAAGTCGTATGTCTCCTCTTTTCGTATAATTCCTACATTGCTGCCCACAAGGACATGGAACTTTTTAATTTTCTTATCAAGACAAACTCGTTGGCTTGGGCGTAAGTTGCTCGTAAAATCACTTTCGGCTCTGTTTTAAATATGATGAAATTGTTTATTCTTTCTTCGACGCGCAGTAAGCTCCCTATGAATGTGACTCGTGTTTTTGTTCCATCAGAGCTCGATGCCTTTCTGTTGACTCCAGCATCAAATGCATGGGAAAACCCCCATGAGGGTGTCGAAGTCATTCGAAGAATTGAATCCCAAATATTAGGGGGGGGGGGGGGGAACTAAAGCGATACAAGAAAATATCCTACTGTAGAACGCGAATGAGCTAATATTCGATCGAGAGGCAAGGCCTCCAGATCGGGATCCCATGCACTGCCATCGTCACGCATGCCCAGATCCCGTTGCTGACTGGTTTACGCGTTTCCCGCGGGAGTGAAACGGTCCCATCTCAGGGTAACGCATAGCACTCTTTGACTGTTGGCTGGCTGAGAACCATGTGATTAGAGCCCTCCCGAACGGAGCTTTCTCGCGACGACGAATGTTGGATTCCGTGGATTCGAGTGATTTTATGCATTTTCGGATTCTTATTTATTCGAATTGAGTTCGTACCATTATAGGGATAGACTGGAAAGGTTTTAGTGTAGCATTTTCGTTTCGGATGCAAGAACTCTTCGCATAAGCATTTTGTGAATCCAAAGACGTGCTTAGTCAATCTGGATTCGTTATAGCTATGCCACCAATATACAGCGTTTTTATTTCTGCAGGTAACCTCGTAGGCGAAAAGACAATGACAGTAGCAGTTGCGGGAGAAGTCGGCGGCGAAGACAACAACGCCCGTTCCGAAGCGGTGCCGAAAAGGGAATCATGGTCACGGAAGGCGGAATTCATCCTTTCGTGTATGGGTTATGCCATCGGGATTGGCAACGTTTGGAGATTCCCCTACCTCTGCTATCGAAACGGGGGAGGTGAGTCTAAACATCGTCGGGATTGGGGCCAAAGTTGCGGAAACAATCGAGAAAAGAAAAGCGCTGGCAGTGGGCTCGTGTCCACCGAACGCGATGCTCAAGAATTCCTCGATTTGGCTTCGAGCCACACTTAATTTTGCCATCAGAATGTCCCGGTCGTGTTTCTCCTTACTCTTTCCATCGCAGTACAGACACATTCGCTCGACCCTATTTCCTCTGTGAAGAAGCAGAGAAAGATTCCAGATGATTCTCTTATCGCAGGAGATAACGTGAGGATGCAATGATGAGGTCCGTATACCAGGCAGACCCCGAACTGTCCTGCTCTGTTTCGTCAGGTTTTCATGTAGTCCACGCCCCGGAACGACTGCAGCGTCATGTACAGCGCATCCATAATACGTACGTAAGAATTTCAATGAAGCCTGAAATGGATGGGATTCTGTGCAGGGGCGTTTCTCATCCCTTACCTGACGATGTTGTTCGTGTGTGGACTGCCGCTCTTCTTCATGGAGATGAGCCTGGGTCAGTTCACCAGCTGCAGCTCTTTAACCGTCTTCAAGATTTCTCCCATCTTCAAAGGTCTCAGGATTCCATTCCGAACCCCCGCGGTCCGCTCCAACGAAGTCTCCCAAAACTGAGAATGGCTTAAAACGTCTGACCCCGTTTGATAGGTGCTGGCTACGCAGTGGTCCTCATCAACTTTTATCTCTGCGCCTACTACAATGTTATCATAGCCTACACCCTTTACTACATGTTCATGTCCTTCGCCTCCGAGGTCCCATGGAAGCACTGTGGGAATTGGTGGAACACCGAGTTATGCAAAGAAGTACTGTGCATCCCGCAATAGTTTCATAGGATTGATGATACTGATGGAGGTGCCAAAATGCTTCCTTTTCTCCTTTCAGATCGGACTTGACTCCGGATCGCATAACTCCTTAATCTCTCCCTCGAACATGACCAAGACTCCCACTCATGAGTTCTTTCAGTGAGGATCTTTCTGCTCTCTCATCCGCGGAGTAATTGACAGAAGCTAACTGATTCCTCATTTGCTCGGTCGTGCATTATGCAGCAATTACATCCTGGAGATCTCGGAGGGGATCGAGGATCCGGGGCCTCTCGTCTGGAAGCTCGTCCTCTGCGTCCTCCTCTCCTGGTTCATCGTCTTCCTCTGCATCTCCAGGGGGGTCCAGTCAGTCGGAAAAGTGAGTCCTCTGGCTTATAGGGGGTGTTGTGCAAGAAGGCCTTGAGTGTCCCTTTCGGAAAATTTTTGTACATTCTAGGCCTTGTCTTCCTTTATTTTCTATTTACCTCTTGTTTTGTTTCAGAAATATGGACTTTCGTCAATTGCGAACCCCTACGTAACGAAAGCCATTGACGGGTTGCAGTGATTAAAAAAATTATTATGTTTTCTCGCGCTCCTGAAAAACCAACCCCCGTGCACGTAAAGCCTTCTTGCACGAAACCGTCGATACGTACAGGGTGTGTTAGAAAAAAAGGATGCCAAAGGTAAAAATAAAAACAAAAAAACGTTGACTTTAAGTATTGATAATGACAGTCTGTCTTCAGAAGAGTTTTCGATCTCTGGAAGCCCTGGAAGTCTCGTAAGTCAATAGATCCTACAGAGAAAACACATCGCCGTGTTGATAAGATGCACTGTGAGCCTTTTTTTCAGGTTTCCTTGTGTTAACCATGACAGCACCAGTCCTATGAAAGGACCTCATTTTGTTCTCCAGAGACAGTATCTGAGAAAGGTCCCAAATAACATGCCTTTCCAAGAAAAGGAAAAAAAACATGTTCGCTTGAGCTTGCAATTCCCTATTCTTCCCCAATGATTTTGCTCGTCATCCCATTCCGCGAAGAATGGAAATCGGGCGCCTCTTTGGAATGCTAGATGAAAGCGACTTTCTAGTTATACGCAATATGTTAATTTCGTGTCACCGGATAACGAATCGAAGAGACGAAGGAAATTCACCGATTCGACTGTGCATAGGGAGCGGGAAGGTTTTTTTTTTTTTTTTCAAGGAATGAATGAGGGGCTCGTTTCTCAATAGGAAAAGGTGGCACATTTTTTAAAATGAGCCTCTCCATAGACGCAGGCGCGCACTCTTTCTCTCTCCCCCTCTCTCACTCACATCCCTACCTAGTGTGACTTTGACCCAGTCTCGTGACCCTCTTCCATTCCGTTCATCCTCCTTCTTGCCCTTATCATCCCCATCCAAGACATTGAAGTGCTAGAAATGAAGGACTAGGTGAAGATGCTATTTTTACCACGGCCGTGAAATCCTCAAACAGTTTCTTTGGCTGATGAAAAGCAAAGGGAGAGCGTGCCCTTGCCAGAATGAACACAGTAGGCCTACTGAAATAAACGAGACATAGCCAAGCCGTTTTCTTTCTCACCGGCACATTATTCCCCTTTTCTTGTGAATGAACCTTCTCTCCTTCACTTCTTGCATTAGTTCTGTCTCAACAAGGAAAGATGACATTTTTAAATATTAATTCTACTACGGGGTGGACCGAAGAAACCCAATCTCGGCGCTCTCTGTGGTTTCTTCACAAGAAGAGAGAGCAAAAACCCATCGATGAAGGATGCATTTCAAGAGAGTAAACTCTTGTCAAAGACATTGAAAAAAAGTTTAGGATTGATTTGAGACATTTTGAACAGCAAGTGGAAAACGTGACCCCCCCCTCCCCTGGTCAATAGCCCCGTCCATAAATCACTGCGAGATAGCATCCCACCGTTTGATTATCTTTGCTCGCAGATCCCACGGATTCTGGAATATGATGTTTTTATTTTGGCTTCAAATCGCAGAATCTCAAGGATGTAAGTCCGATCGGTTTGGTGGTCGCAATAGGGCCTCTGTGAAGTCTCGTGTCTTCTCCGACAATGGACTTCTCTGCTTCCATACACGATGGTAGTGCATTCCGTGGGTCTCACAGCTGCCAATATCTTTTAACAGAACATACCAGAAATGATAGAGCCTGAAATAAAATTAACTACACCCTTTGATCATGTCTATTGGAGAAAACTGCTTACAGGAACGACCAACTTCCAGAATCTCTGGGAGCTGCGAGTGAAGGTCGTGGAAGGGTGAACTGCCATATTCCAACAATTATTTTGGCAGGAAAATATAAAAGAGGCAGTCGTTTGGCCGCCATTAGCCTCTCTGATGGGAGGTCACATTGAACATTTATTGTCATTCACTTGCCAAAGAGTTGGAATATTGCAAATTAATTGCCCCATAATGCACTCCAGTTCTCTCTTCTTGCAAATAAATAATTGAAGAACCATGCTTGGATATTTGCATTTTTGGCATGCATTTATTTTGCCCATTCCTTACCACATGATTCCAACGTAAGCTAAGGCTCACGCCACTGAGCAAAGCGGGACTTCACTCATCTGTGAGATGCATCACTCTATGTATTATATCAGGCCTGTAATGTTCCATTAGCCCATTCACCAGGGACGAAAAACGTTTGGCGGTTTGGCGAATGATAAGAAAACAGCATGGCTCGTGAAAGTCAGATGATCTGGCGAGTGAAAAGTAAACAAAGAACAGTTTACTCCCCCCCTCTTTTACCCTCTTGCGAGTTTGCATCGCCCATCGTAACAGCCTAGACACGTCTTGGAATAGGTTAATCTGCGCGGGAACTGCGTTTTCAGCCGTCGGTGGGGCGGAGTTAGTAAAAATATTGCGTGGCTGGTGAAATTTGCGAAATAGAGTTTTCTGGGCTGTGTAATATGTATTAGACTTCTCCTTCCGGTCACTGAATAGTTACAGAAAACCAAGTAGTAGAGAGAAGCAGACCTTTCTGACAGCGACCAAATTCTCTCTCCCCGATTATCGGGCGTCTGTGTATCCTCTCTTGTGGTAACCTCAAATGAAATGAGTGAAGTCCCGAACTCTTCTGTGCCCTCTCGTCCGGATTTCTACCGCTGAAGGCAGTCTTGATCACGGTGGAAACATGTAGAGATGCTTTAAAAAAATGTCTCATCTTCTTGGTCCTGATTACCCAATTGCTTGCATCTGACTACCCTGAATGTACAGTACCTCAATGCCAGGGGCATGAATGCATAACCGCAAGGAAGCAGCCGGAGGCCTGCTTCTCGCGGAGACCTCTTCAAGATGATACTACAATGTTTTCCAAAAGAAAAATGATTGAGACATGTCAGCATATTTCATCAGATATTTTTCATAACTCATGCGTTTTTTCGGAACTCGATGATTTTTTGGAAATTCAGTCTGCCGGTCAATAAGTGGAAGCAGAAGTTCGTGTCCCTCAGGTAAATGCTAAACGCACCTCTCTCATAACTCAACATCCAGTCCACAGCAGCGAATTGGTGGATCAGTGACACGAATTACTGAACACCATGCCATGTAACACCAGCAGGAACCAAGGCCCCCCATGGGGTGAGTTCTAATATCGGGTGTTGATGCTTCGTGTTGGTGTTATCGCCCAGTGTTGGTGGCTTCTTCCAACAACAGCTTCGGTGTTAACACCAACACCAACACGAAACCTAGTAAAGCTGCGTCATCTCGTTGCCGTTTTCCCTTTTCACTCAGGTTCGGTACCTTTCACGAAAGTGTCGGCCCAATGCACCGAGCGGCGGGCTCAATAATCGCTGATGCATTTGAACTGCGACGATATTAAACCTACGCCTACCTTTCGCGTTAAGCCTTTGAAGGTACGACGAATACTGTCTCCCGTACCTTCAAGGCTGTTTTACTGTAATGAATGGCTCTCTCTATGAACAAAATTAAAATTCAAAAAGTAGCATTCACGATCGGAATCGGAAATTTCGGAACGAACGCAGTGATATTTTCTGTCATTTTATCATTGTCCAAACCAATGTGTCCTATGATTAAGGATGTTTAGTAGAGTGACATAAGCCACATCATTAGCTTGTCGGTTAAGCATTGTATTTTGCAGGAGACAAAATTCAGTGTTCCACTATAAAAGGGTCGCCTTGGATGTTAAAAAAGCTGACGTATGGGGGATCTCGGGTCGCGAGTGGGTTACATCGAGGCGTGGATAAATAATGCGATATCAATCCTGGGAATTTCACATTCGAATGATTTCAGAAAAAATTGTTTGACTGAAATTTTATTTCATCTTTCTTGACTGCAGGGATTTTTTCAAGAAATGATTCCGCATTTTCCAAAATTATGATTACGTGTATTATTTGCAAAATAATAATTCCTTTAATTATGTGTGTTATCTAAAAAATAATAATGCATTTATTTTCTTGTTTTGTCTCCTCATTGTCATTTAAAGAGGACTGTTGATGCCTGTGACACTGCATGACACAGCAAGCAAAGAAGACTAGACTGGCCGTAGCATTCTGATGACTTAAAAATATTTTCATGCTTTCAGCTATCTGGAAATATGACTGAATTACATTTTGTTTCAAATCAATTAGGAAACTCAGCATGTAATGATTATCATAATTTTTTTACTTAGATTGCAGGTTCACGGTAAATTTCTGTGCGCGATTGCTTGCTCAACCTCAACACGGGACGTCATAATGGGCAGATACGCGTTCTGACGCTCCTATCCGAACCTTGAACCTTAAACCATGAACCTTGAACCCTGAACCCTGAACCCTGAACCATGAACCTGGAACCTGGAACCTTGAACCTTGACCCTTGAATAATAAATCTGTAGAAAATACTGCGATAAGGAATGGTCTCGTGATATGCACAGTAATTATGTTGTAGATCACGAGCAGTCGTACTGGTAGGTAGTAGTAAATATTTGAGATTGAGATCTAAGGTGTGCAAGATGGACACAAACGGACGAGAGGCCACTATCTAACGAGAGAAATCCCATCGGTCACGATAATGAAGTTTGCTGAACCAGGATCACGGAAGAAAATATTGGTTTTTCCCTCAGTTTGCCCGAGTCAGCCAAACCGACTGCCTCAACACACAACATATCTTGCTGCACTCCTAAATGCGTCTTTAATAACTGAGAGGCTTCGGTCGAGAAGTGACTGACTTACCGTTGTCACTTTTACGATGCCGCCTTCGGCTTACCAGGCTTATCTCAAGAGCGAAAGGCGCGCAGATCTCCATCTGGGAGCGTGGTGTTAGTAGACCTTGGTTGTAATGGCACTTTTGCGTGGTATCATATTATGATGCCTTGCAGAAGTGTATGGCCTGTCAGTATATTTCGCGATATATATCCTTTTTCCTGTTGTCTCTTGAAAATTCACATGATGCAATTCTTGTTCCTACCTACTGCCAGTTATTTACACTACTAACACCGCTTTTGGACTCATGCTAGTGTTAACCTCTAGGGATTAGTGTAACACCCATATTGAAGTATAGGGAATTTCTTTAAAACCAACACCAAACTGAGATTGGGTTAGCCTTTCGTGTTTAATCTTGTGTTACACGGACGCGAAACACCTGGAAAACATGGCGTTACTCTAACACCCTTGATTAAGTTCAAATTCGGTGTTAAGGATTTCGGATTTCGTGTTGCACGGAGCACTAACCCAGAACACCTAAATCGAATTTGAACTCGTCCATCGTCTCTCCATGGGGTGTACGCTGCGCTTCGACTCAAGCGCCCTTAGATGTCCCGCTGATGAGCGCAAGCCGTGAAAACGGACTTTTGGGTATTTTTAAAAGAAAGTGTAGCTGACGAAAGAAGAGTTTTGGAAATCGCACTTATGGTTTTGGGAAATCAGATGAATGGTTTTGAAGCGTTGTTAACATTTATCATTTAAAATAAGTGAATTGTTTCAATTAAACTTATTTTAAAAAATTTTATTTTTTCTGGCAGCTCTTACTAAGTAAGTGTGGATTTGATCGTACAGTATTCGGTGGACTGGAGGCTTGAGGGTGTAACGAAAATTTAGCTGGGTACAGGGCGATCCAGGCGACATTCTGTTCTGATCGTGATCTGCTCTTATGTGCATGGAACCGAGCGTCATCGATATTATTGAATGCATTCCGTGCAGGTGGTGTACTTCACGGCCACGTTCCCCTTTTTGATGCTCTTCGCTCTGCTCATAAGAGGAGTCACACTGCCTGGCGCCGTCGACGGCATCCTTTTCTACATCACGCCCAAGTGGGAGAAACTCCTCGACTTCAGTGTGAGGCACGCGGGGGATAAGAGGACTCTCGTCTTCTTTCACCCATTCGGTTCCAATGCTCTCTCTCTCTCTCTCTCTCCTTCCTTTCGACGAATTCCAGGGAGAGGATGCGATTGCCATCCTCGTGTCGAGGGATTCGCGAAGGGACGAATACAGACTAAGGATGAATTAGTTTCCTCCCTCCCTCGTACACATACAGGTTTGGTCTGATGCAGCCGTGCAGATCTTCTACTCCCTTGGTCCTGGATGGGGCGGTCTCATCACGATGGCCAGCTATAATAAGTTCAACAACAACATTCAGAGGCAAGCGTGATGTTCTGGCGTCGAAACGAAAACTTTACACTTCCCTTTTGTCAATATATAAAGTTTGCTCCCCTTAGAGATTCGGTGTTTGTGCCGATCATGAACTGCGGAACGAGTATCTTTGCCGGCTTCGTCGTTTTCTCTGTTCTCGGCTTCATGTCTCATCAGACCGGGATCCCTGTGAAAGATGTCGCTACCGCAGGTATGCTTTTTTTTTAAATCCCCTTTTTCGTTTCAATGTTTCTGGAGGCAATCGTCACCACCTTTGTTATGATTGCTTTTGCTTTTGATAGGCCCGAGCCTCGCCTTCGTGACGTATCCAGAAGCAATTGCCATGATGCCCCTTGCCCCTCTTTGGGCCGTATTGTTCTTCTTCATGCTCTATACGTTGGGGCTGGACAGTGAGGCAGGTGAACAAGTCAATTCCTAAAAATTGTCCCTGTTCACTGGGCCGCAAGAACGAACGAATCCAATGATTCATGCATTCCATCTGTTCCTCTTCTAGTTCGTCCAGGTGGAAACCATCATCGCGGCCGTGTTAGACGAATATCCCCGGTACAGGAAGTACAAACTCCTCATCACGGCCGGGTCCTGCTGCTTGCTATTTCTTCTCTCTCTCTCCTGCGTCACTAAGGTACGGAGGATACGAAGGTCCATTGGCACAAATGGTTTTTGGCACAACATCACGCCATGTGTAGTTTATGTGAAACGTAGTTTGCCCTTGTCGTTACTGCTTTTCTTAGTTGCGATAAATTACGGGCATTGTGGTAAAATGTGAAAGCGAAACTCCATCCGATTGAGGAGGGAAGCGTTGGAAAACGTTGAGTACTTGTCTCGGAGGCCCTGCTGTGCAATCTGCGTAATGGATCCGTCACTCCTCCTCCTATGGGATACACCTAACATGTATTTGGTGGAAGGCCTATAGTGTGTTCGATGTGCATCATCAGACAAACCGAGAGGGATTAGACCAGTATATGAGGGCTTTATTCCTAACAAGGCTGATAACACCGAATGTGTCACTGATAACATAAAAAAAAGCCCCAAGCTAGTCGAGCTAGATTGTTTCGATCGCTTCGAATTGATGCAAGATTCTGCATAAATGAGCATATATCGTTATTAACCCTTTCCCTGGCGTCCACTCGAATTGAAATGGAGATCCCTGCCAGGGAAAGGGTTATTATGCTCAAGATGTAGTTAAGATGTATTTTAGTGAAGGAGTATTAAGCCACGCTCGATCCAGCGTACTTGGGGGCAGGGAAACTCTCCGCAAAAACGAGCGACCCCGTTGATGTGTTCCCACTCCCTTAGGGAGGGATGTACGTCCTGCAGCTGTTCGACTGGTACTGTGCCAACGTCACGGTCCCCATCGTCTGCTTTTGCGAAATCTGCATCGTGGCTTGGATCTACGGTCAGTCGTCGACCCCTGTCTCCTTAGTCAAATTCCACATGGCATTCCGGGGTCATTCTAACCACTCTACCCCTCTTTGACGGAATCATATAGGTGTGGGAAAGTTTGTTCGGGACGTGGAGTTCATGATCGGGAAAGTGATCAACTTCTACTGGAGGATCGCCTGGCTCGCATTCACCCCGATCGCCCTCGTGGTACGTTCGAAATGGGAGGATGGGAAGGGATCATGCGATGAGCATTCGCAGTCTCTGAGTGATGGTACGGATGGGTCTGCAATAAAGATGAGCCTCGATAGGATGGAAAGTATCGACTCGAAGGCCCCACTGTCAGCGAGTGTCGCTTTTAGGAGGGATTTTGATAATGGATTGGAGAGGCTGGCTCGTCTCTGGTAGACTCGTCTCGGGCAATGGGTCTGTTCCTCCGCGACACCTATCCTTTGGGGGCGAAGTAGTAGTGCTTAACCTGGAATGCAGATGCCTGTAGCGTCGTATCAGCTTTCTACATCGGCATTACTCCAGGCCCGTTTCTTGACCTTGTCGCGGGAAAACATCCGGGGCACACGAGAAGGGCCCCCTTTAAACATGCAGCTGCTGCTGACAGAAAAAATGGAGGGAGAGAAATGCCTAACGTGGACCTCCTGGGTCAGTGTTTTTCAATCTTTATACATTCCTTTCAAGGAAGAATGTGCTTTGCAATCCTTTAGTGAGGTCCCCGTTGACCTGAGGCTTTGTCCCCCCCCCCCCCTCAGAAATGACCCAGCAATAATCACACTATGAATGTTGGAGTTAGACTGAAAGTGAATCTCCACCGCATCTCAAAACTAGCCTTTCATCCTTCAGCAAAGTGGATTCTCAGTGAAACAACTTTTTTTTCCATAGAATGTCGCGGTGGTCTCAAAAAGAAACCACCTGTTGACCTATAGGGTAGGGGTGCCCTCTCTTAGGCAAGATTTTATTACCATACTCATGTTTTTCCATGTATTATATGTAGGTTTTTCCAGGAAATAGAATTTCGAAAAAAAATTAGATATACGTGCCCGAAAAGGTTAAATCGAACGCGTCAAGAGATGGGCATTCCTACCTCTGAAAAAAAAAATGTATATGTCGTTTCTCTCATACCCGTTGTCTTTTCTCAATCGAAGGCTTTCTCAGCCTGCCTTACCTTATCTTGTTCTCAGTGGTTCATTCCTGATGAGCTGTTTCCCATTTACGTAAGAGTCATGGGTTCTATTAGATTCATGCACCTGCCATGAATGTGAAATAGTGCCGCTTAGCATCCACAAAGCGGGACATATCCAGTAGTTCCCTCATAAGTCCTGTCGTTTTGAAACCTCCAAGCGATCGGCAAAAATTTGACCGAAGTAATTTCGATCATTATGGGAAGAAATGTCGAATTATGATTGCGGCGCAGGTCTCTCATGCATCTGTAGCCCGTGGTGATCTCGATCAACAACACGGGAAGCATCGTAACCTCAAGAGCAAATTCGAAAGAACTGTACCGGACGTATAGATGCTGCGTGTATATTCATAGATCATCTTGGGGGCGATCCTGTGGTCGAGTAGGCAGGTGGTCTACGAGAACTATGTATATCCAGATTGGGCAGTGGCTGTGGGCTGGATGATCGCATTCTCCTCCGTCCTCTTCATTCCCATCTATGCTGCCCACATCCTGTGGAACGGGAAGGGCTCCTTCTCTCAGGTAACTTCTTTCGTTGAGATCAACGGAGGAAAAAAAAAATAGGGTGGATTTTTTTAAACAAAGCATTATCCGATAATGCAGATTTATTTACCGGATTTATAATGCATTTTCTCTTAAATAAAGCTGCACTATCGGATAGTGCTCTGTTCAAAAGTCCACCCTTAATTTAATTTAATTTAAATAAAAGAGTGAAAAATGAGGATGGTGTCGTTCGGACAGCGGCTGAAACGGTCGGCGATAGCGACAGAGGACTACGGGCCCGGGGATAGCTCCGATTTCGCCGCGTGGAAGGAGCATTGTGCATCGACCAAATATTACTGGCTCAGGAGTCCCATTGCATTCCGAAGATGGCTCAAGGAATCCAAACCCAAAGATCCCGAAGAGAACTGATAGTATCCCGTCTTCCGATCGGAAGCAACTGAAATACCCGATCTTTCCTCATCCAAATTCATAGCCAAACGCCGAGTTTCTCGTGATAGCACACGGTTATTCTTTTAGCTACTCGACGATGTATCGCCTTTTTTTTTTCATTGGAAACGAAGTGCGCTTCTTGAGACATGCTATTTTTTTGTACCGATGAAATGAATTGTTCAGGTACGGTCAGAGTGGTCTTCCCTCAACCGCTGAATGTCAAGATAGACGATGTATAGAGGAGGCGGGGCTCGTCGGTCCTCGTGGCTGCTAGTACCTCTGTGTTAACCACATTAGAGGAATCTTAAAAAATAAAAAGGAATTCTCGGAGGATATTGCCTCAAGACGTTCTTCATCCATACGTGCACCCTTTTTTTGCCTCCAGACACAGTTATTTTCACGAGTCTGATCGATGATGTCCTCTTTACTCTTTCGGTGAATGCGTTTCTTTTATCCCTTCATCTCCACGCAGAAAAACGCTGCATTTTCCGGAATTCAGATCAAGATCGCTGGTCTCCTTTGTCTCCCCCACCCCAACCCCTCCCCCTCATTTTTTTTTTTTTTTTCCTCGGGCACAGAATTGTAAAGGTAATGAATGATTCCGAGAGGCGAAGAAAGGAAAAAAATGTTCGCGGTTTTTGAATGAGATTGGGATCCGACCAAGATGCTTATTTTATTTTATTCGATGGAATTTCTGTCCGCTCGTCGGTGATTTGCGTTCTCGAGGGGGGGAAGGTGAAGGGGGAAGGTGGGGGGAAAGGTGGGGAAGGTGACGGTCGCGAGAAAACGCGCAGAATCCTCTGATGAATTGTTGAGACAGTTTTTGTCGGGTTTCTGAATGGCCTCGGGCCCCCTCGGGAACCAACGACATTCGTGCAACTAAAAAAAGAAAGAAAGGGGGAAAAAAAAAAGGTATTCGTTCGGACGGGACAGCGAAGCCTCGCTTCCGTCTCCACAAGCTCATTCACGGTGCCGGATTCTCTCCCGGCTGATTTATCAACTCATGCAAATGCAGGAAGAGATGCACATCGTTTTCGAATTTAAAAGGAAAGGGGGGGAGGGGGCGGAGTGGGGGAGGGGGGGGGGGGGGGGCCTCGGAGGAAGAATGTTTTCCGTTCCGAGAAAGGGCTTTTCTTCTCTCTGCCACACAGAGGGACAGAAAGGACAAAGGACAAAGGACACATCTGCGTAGGATTAATTGGTTGGAACTGCATAACTTTTCTCTTTCACATGAGCCCTGCCCTTCCCCCTTCCCCCTCATCAACTGCCCGATCCGAGAAACAAACGCGAACGAGAGGTGAAAGTCCTCGGCCCTTCCACGATCCTTCCGCGGTCCTTCCTCGATCTGCCTTTCAGCTTTATGATGCTCAGCCTTCGACGCTTCGCCTCATCCTCTGGAATCCATCCAAGCCATAATGATAACGTCGATAACGATCGCGAACGAATCGACGAATTCCGCCCCAGCCGCGACTCCATCGCATTCGCGCCGGAAACGAAGCGTCACGGATCGCGTTTCGCCGGCAGGCGCCCCCAGCGATCGCGGATGGCCGGAACGCGCCGCGACGGGGAACGGAGTCCCTCGATGGGAATCGAAAGCGTCGGCCCCGTCCCACGTCGGCCTCATCCCACAGGCGATCGAGGCGATTTCTCTCGGGGGGGCCCGATGAAGCCTGCTTCAGTCCGGGGGAGGCGAGACTCAGGAAATGAGCCGCAGCGTTTCTCTCTCTTTCCTCCTTTCTTGCGTCGGGCGAGGAATACCCAGAACTGTTTTCCAGATTTCTCCGCCTGCATGCCCCACATGCCATCCACGACCCATGCCATCCATGCCCCACATGCCATCCACGTCCCGTGCCATCCATGCCCCACATGCCATCCACGTCCCGTGCGTCGCATGCATCCGATGACGCAACGGCCTGCCACGCACGGACTCCTGGGGTCCTCCCATCCCCTCCAGCCATCCATCTTTACTTCTTCCCATGCAAAGAACCTGTTTCTTCCTGGGCGGGACGCATTTCCTTCGGTGATCCCATCAACCGGATATTTATTCTTTCTCCTCCGTCTTCGTCCAAAGAAGGAAATCGGTTTGCTGGTGGGACGGGCGCGAGAGGCTGGGATCACGGATGGGAAACATAAAAGTTTCTTTTTTTTTTTAATGGATGTTTTGGATTCGCATCGTAATGGATGTTGCTCATCGATCTGGGCTTAAACCGCTGGAGGCGACCTTTTAGTCCAATCCTTTAAACACACACGAGGATGATAAGGATATTTTGCACCGGTTGGGGGCTCTTATATGCTTCGTTTATCTCTTTCGTGCGGTGAGATTGAGAAAAGAAACGTTCTTTCGCCTTCCCGAGGGCGAACGACGAATAGAAACCGATGGGAAAAAGCAATCGGCATTCAAATGAGCGAGTAAACGAGCGGAGTTTCACTCGATGGAATGAGATGGGTGTGAGGGGGGGTGAGGGGGGGTGAGGGGGGGAAAGGGAACAGGTTGTGAATTTTGAATGGGGAGTTCGCATTCTCTGTTGCGGCTTCCCTCGGGGAAGACGTGATGGAGGGAAAAGGTGAGAGTCATCGTCGCGTCACGGCGGAAACTCGGTCTCGCGAGACCGTCTGCATTCCGCAGGACGAGCGTCTTCGGGGAACCCGGAGAAATGCGAGAACAAATGCGAGGAGAAATGCCAGAAGAAATGCGAAGAGAAATGCGTTCCTGTGGGTTCGAGTTAGGAACACGATCGATAACGACAACAAAGAGACAAAGGAAATTCGCCTTTCGCACTGAATTCTGAGAGCGTCATAAAAAAGAAAGCGATCCCCCTGATGAAAAAGAGACGAGAAAGAAACCCCATGATAAGCAAGGACCTCTGGTCCTCGAAGGTCCCCCCCCCCCGGAGTGCATCCGAAACTCGCCCTACCTTCCATCACCCACACTCGCGACTGACAGACGGAGAAAGGGGCAGCATGTAGTCTTCCCTCGAAGGTCATCCCCCAACGTATACAGTATAGATGTCTAGAGAGCTCGAGCATCTTCGATTTACCTCGGTCATCCCCCAACGTATATAGATGCCTAGAGAACTCGAGCGTCTTCGATTTACCTGAGTCATTCCCCGTCGTGGAGCGACGCGGGCGTCCAGGCGCTCGTCCTCGCTCTCCTGTCCGGTGGGATCGGTCGAAAAGCCTCCGGAATTTCCTTCTTTCGAATCGCGATTCCAACACGTCCGTGTCGCTCTGAAGCCGAAGATGCAAATCCAGGCCACGGATGAATCCTTTTCTTCTGTCGTTTCTGCTTAGGAGATATTTTTTCACCGAGGATTCAAGCTCCCATGCCTAGATTTGTATATCGGATATTCTCCCCCACCCCACCCCCTCCCCCTCATTTTTTTTTCAGTTTCCCTGCCTTGTTAAGGCACAGGACGACGATGAACGCATGCAATCACTAATTGGGCTTTGTTGGATGCTGGCGCTCCTCGAGATGATTGCTATCGATTAGCTGATTCCCGCGTCCACTGATTGCCATGACCTGTCTTATTACGAGCCCGGGACGGGCAGGCAAGGTCGACTCGTTCGTTTCGTATCCCCGTCTGTGGACTCCAGCCAATCCTGATCCAATTTGGAGTTCGATGCCAGGGCAGCGAACACGAAGCAATTATATGACCCCGCTTCCTCTCCTCGTTCCTCGTTTGATCCCCTTCGCGATCCATACGCTCTCTTCCCTTCGTCGTCACGTCACACTTCATCGGGGAGATTCGATTGGTGCTGACAGATGCTCGGGGCTCCGTTGGGAGGAGTGGCTTTTGTATGCGAGTGTTATGGCATTTTTTGTAAACTCACCCTCGTAAAGTCTGACGGCGATGAGCAACTTTCACGGCAATTACTCGGATCTTGGTGAACGCTATTTTCGTCAGGTGCGAGCTGGAGCATATGCGCGAAGGAAGATCATCATCGCAGCGTTTTTATTTTTTCAGATTTCGCGTGATTTTGCTCAGACAAAACTTTATTTTTACTTGCACACTCGCATATCACAGAGTCCTTCCTTATAGAAATAAAAAATATATATATATCTATACATTTCGGAACTCTAGGGTCTGTCGAAGAGAACGCCATGGACGATGAACACCTAAGCAGAGGAACTAGGAATTCCCAAGCACGATACTGTCTGGCGCGATCGACCCAGAGGAATCATCCATCACAGTATCCTCAAAAAGCGTTAGTCTTCCAGGAAGAACGGATAAGTCCCTCCTCTGATCTCGAGACCTAAGTCAAAATGTGAAATTCGAGCAAGTGTAGGAGCTGTGGATGGACGTGGAGATATCATTCAGAGCAGAGTTCCCAGGTCTGGCCAGCACGAAGATGTTTCAATTAATTTCCAGTGCGTTTCCACTCGCATTTATAAGGTTATCTTCAGCAAAGTCCGAGAATCCCAAGAACATTTATCCAGTCGTGTAAAATCAGCGCTCAACCCGCAAAGTTTCGTCCTACTTGGTAAACCATCCCAGGACCCAACTTGAAAACCCATACCGCATTTTTTTTTTCAAAGGCCAACCCACCGATTCCCAAAGAACATTCTAGCCCTGTACACACGTTTAACGACTTTTCCCCTTCGGCTCCAATGCCCCCCCCCCCCCCCCCCCCCCCCCCCCCCCCCCCCC